AACTCTCCCTGGGAAGCACCAGGGACTTCGGGAAGAGTTACTGGTGAGAGAGCCTCTGCTTCAGATAGGCTTGGCTTCGAAGAGCGTCGCTTCAGACAGGCTTGGCTTCGAAGATCAGGTTGCCGGCTTCCTTGAGGCTCAGATAACAGATGTATCAGCTTGTCTGTTCTACAGTTTTTATTTTGTGGTGGTGGAACTGGAACCTGGGACCTTACTGAGTGCAGGCTTTCTGTCTTTGACCATGCCCCAGCCTTCTCTTGGGGGGATACTAGGCAGGGCTCCACCTCCACTAGCCAGGGCCACAGCCCCACACTGAGGGATTTTAGGCAGGAATTCCACCCCTGAGCTATGGCCAGACATTTTTTCCTTTTTTAATGTTGTTTTCTGTGTTTTGTTTTGTCTTATTATATGACACAGAATTTCTTTGTGTAGCCCTGGCTGTCCTGTAGCTCTGTAGACCAGGCTAGCCTCCCACTCACAGAGATCCTCCTGCTTCTCTACAGTGTAGGAATTAGGGTGTACTCTACTAGGCCCTGTCCTAGAGCGTTTTTTAAATTTTGATTCCAAGTCTCACTAAACTTCCCAGGCTGCAGTAGAGCTTGTAATCCTCCTGCCTCATCCTCCAGTTAAATTTTCAGTGTGTTGTGTGGGAGCAAGGCTCGGTGCAGAGTGTCTGCCTTGCAAGCCCCAGGCCCTGCCTCAGTTTATCCACCCCCAAACCCCAAATGGCTTCTTAAAACCTGGAGTGATGCTGCACACCTTTAATCCCAGCACTCAAGAGGCAGAGGCAATGGATCTCTGTGAGTTCGAGGCCAGCCTGGTCTACAGAGTGAGTTCCAGGACAGCCAGTGCAACACAGAGAAACCCTGTCTCAAAAAAAAACTAAGTTAAAATGTGAACATATTGCCACACCCAGCCCCCCCCCCCACACACCGTACTCTCAGTCCCAGCAGGCTCTTTTTTATTGAACAATGAGAAGAACTAAGGCCTCTTTTCTCTCCAGCCATCCTGAAATTTCAGAAAATTAAGCAGAGGCCCGCCCCTCATCAGCGGGTTTGAACCCCACCGCATCAAAGCGGCCCCCACCCCTGAGGCTGGACTTCAGCCACCAGGAAATGCCCCATGGATGGAGGAAGTGAGGGCTCCGAGTCCTGGGCTGCTGGACGGACATCAAAAGCCGCCAGGATCTGTCTGGACGCCCACCCTGGGGGTCTGCGTGCTGACTCCTTCCTGCCAACCTTCCTCTTGTCTTTTCTGACCTTTGCCCAATTCCAAAGCCTTTCTAGGGCACACCCCCCTTCCACTCATGAGGTTAAACAACCATCCCCTCTCGGTTGGGCTTTTTATCTGGCATTGTCTCCGGCTCCCCTGGCCAGAGACTTAACTAATATCCTGGCCTCCAGCTTTGATCCTGCCTGACTCTGAAGGCTCTCAGCCTGCCTGGCTCCTCAGTGCCCTTGCTAGGACATGCAGTTTTCAACCTGGTGACACATTCCTGGTGACTTTTCCAGCCAGGGAGGCACAAGGGAGGAGGTGGGATAGCCTTGGGAAGTAGAAACCTGAGCTGAATCCAAAAGGGCCAGAAATGCAGAGACCTCTGCCGCTGCTGGGTCAGAGGCCGCTGGAAGCTGTGTATATTGTCCCAGGACTGCCCTCTCAGCTCCGGGGAGGTGGGGGCAGGAGGGGAAGGAAGAGTCAAGGTCTCTGTTGATTATGAAGAGAATAACCAGCCAGCCTGGGCTACGTGAAACCCTCTTTAAAAAGTAAAATACGCTGAGTCTGTGGTCATAGCTCAGGAAGTAGAGATTGTTTGTCACAACTTGTCTTGGGTTCTGTCCCCAGCAACTGAACGAATGGGAGGTGGCGGCTAAGGTGTTCATCCCAGCACTCTGGAGGTCAGAGGTGGAGGAAAGAGGCTCCAGAGTGCTGGGCTACAGCAGGAGTTTGAGGTCAACGTGGGTTACAAGAGACCTTGTCAGCAGATGGAGGCCACGGGGTGGGTGGTGACAGATAGGACAGGAACAGAAGTTAAAACCCAGGCAGGAAGCCGGGCGTTGGTGGCGCACGCCTTTAATCCCAACACTTGGGAGGCAGAGGCAGGCAGATTTCTGAGTTCGAGGCCAGCCTGGTCTACAGAGTGAGTTCCAGGACAGCCAGGGCTATACAGAGAAACCCTGTCTCGAAAAACCAAAAAAAAAAAAAAAAAAAAAACCCAGGCAGGGTCAACTACCAGTTAAACAGTCACCCAGAGCTGTCACCCCAGCCGGTCTCTGCACAGGTCCTCGCCCTCCGCCAGTGACTTGGCCGAGAGCCTCAGTTACCACACGTGTGAAGTTTGGGTCAAGCACTGAGATTACACGCTTGCCCGAGGAAGACTGAAAAGAAACCCCGCCAATCTCCTATCTCTTCCTATCTTTTAATCCCCTTAGGCCAAGATCCAAGAGTCGCCTGTTATCTCCTGTCCAGCCCAGGCCAGGCCTTCTCCCCGAGCAGCCTGGGACACCCCTCCTGTTGTGCAGCCCAGTGCTGGATCAGAACCGGAGCCTTCTGCCTCCACATCCTAGAGCTGGGATGGAAGTCTGTGGACATTTATTTAGTTTGAGGCAGGGTCTCAGTGTACAGCCCTGGCTGTACTATGTACAGTGGGTTGCCCTCACATGTAGAGATCCTCCCGCCTCTGCCTCTAGAATCCTGAAGAAATGGCCCCCACACCTGGGTCACACATGTTGCTGGGAGCACAGACGGCTCTTAGGCAAGGGAAAGACCAGTCCGTTTGGGACTTAGGGGTTCAGAACCAACCTGCATGTCTCCAGATGCCCCTGGAGGAAGGTGTACGGTGATTCGGACCGGTAACCCCACCATCAAGAGGGTACGGTGCAGGCCTGTCATTCAGTCCTCAGGAGGTGGGAGGACAGCAGGACCAAGAGTTCAAGGCCAGCCTCAGTTATAAACCTGAGCTTGAGGTCAGCCTGGAAGAAGGGAAAAAAAAATGTCAGGAGGAGGGGGAGGAGGGGGAGGAGAACACTTGTCCCACTGAGGTCCCATGATCCGGGCCTGGAATTGTGTGGGAGTGTGCGCCACCTGTGTCTCTTGAGTCACCAGGCCAACAGAGGCCCGGGTTCCCCTTTCTTTGAGTGTGTTCCACAGAACCAACCAGTAAGTAGGAGTGAAACCAGGCGTCTGCCACGTGGGGCGCCTGGCACCAGCAGCCCTCATTAAAGACTAGCCTGTATTTTGATGTTCTGCCCAACTATTACCTGTAATTAATAATTAATTAGCACTAATATGCCCCCTATGCCTCCCTATGTATGTCTGGAAGTTTATGGGATCACCCCGTGTGTTCTCATTCTGGGCCCTTCTGCAGAGAGGCAGGAGTGAGCAGCAGCCTCCAGCTGGAGGCTAGGTGGGGCTCTACGCAGGGGTGAGGATGGGTTGCAGACATTTGGATCTGGGCTCCCTTTGCTTAGCTCATCAACCTTCGAGGCTGAGGTTGGAGGACTGAGAGTTCAAGGCCAGCATAGGTTGTAGAGGGACTTCGGGGCTAGCCTGGACAGCTAGTGGACGCTCTCTCAAAACAGAAAAAGTCGTGATTTGTGGATGCAACCCAACACCCACGGTGTTCCGGAAAGGGAGGCAGATCAGGAGTTTGAGGTCATCCTCAGGTGCGTACTGAACTTGAGGGTAGCCCGAGCTACATGAGATCCTGTCTCAAAAGAAAAGGCTTTCGGGTTGTGAAAGGATAAATCCGGTGACTCCAGCACCGTGGAGGCAGGACGTGGGGAGTTCTAAGTTGTCTTTGGTTAAGCAGAAACCTCAAAGCCAGCCTGGGCTACAAGATATCCTTTGTTAGAAAAAGAAGCAAACAAAACTTTTTTTTTTAATCAAAGAAATTAAAACACGAAGAAAGTAAAACATAAACTGATTAAAGCCTGAATCGCAGGGGCGGCGTTAGGACCGCGAGAGTGCGGCGGGCTGAGGCCACGCCCCCTCGTGCTGATTGGGCGCCAAGCCGAGGCGCGCGGCTCCGGTTGGCCAGCGTGGCCGTCGCGGCGAGGCTCCGCCCCCGAGGCGGCTCCGGGGAGCGGCGGCCGCTGCGTCGCGCGGGGCGGCATTGCGGTGCGCGGGGGTCTGCGGCCGCGATGTCTTCTCCGTCGGGCGACGCAGGCCCGGGGCCGCCGCGGACGCTGTCCCTCGCCGCGCGGCTGAGCTTCGCGGTCGGCCACTTCCTCAACGACCTGTGCGCCGGCATGTGGTTCACCTACCTGCTGCTGTTCCTGCACTCCGTGCGCGGGTACAGCTCGCGGGGCGCGGGGCTGCTGCTGCTGCTCGGCCAGGTGGCCGACGGGCTCTGCACGCCGCTCGTGGGGTACGAGGCCGACCGCGCCGCCTGCGCGCGCTGTGGGCCCCGCAAGGCCTGGCACCTAGCGGGTGAGCCGTCCTCCCCTCTGTCATCCTGTGTCCCGGCTCCCTGTTTATGACACTGTGTCTGTCCTCTCTCGCTCCCTGTAGCCTGTCCGCTGACTGCCGTCCGTGGCCGGGTCCTGTGCCCTCTAGCCGGTCAGGATTCCGTCCCGTCTTCCCTGACTATCGCCTGTGTCCTGTGCTCCTTCCTCTGCTCACCCACTGCTTCCCATGTGGCTCCTGTCTGGGGCGGCCCAGCATGTTGTCGCCGTCCGTCAGCTGTCACTCGGTGTGGACAGTGGAGAGGTTGGCCCCGGGGTTGTAGCCACTCCCTGTGGAATTCCAGCCTGGTTCCTGGAAGGCTCTGGCCCTTCGCCTGGGGTAGTGGTCGCAGAGCCAGCCCCGCCCCTTGGTGACATTTATTTGAAGACAGAGCAGTGGCCCAGCGGCAGCTGCCAGTCCCCAGCCCAGGGGCTGGAATTTCCCGTTTCTCAGGATTATTCAAGGTTGTGGACCCAGGAAGACTCCAGGACTAGGAGAAGGGTACAGTGACCTAGTGTGGGCTTCAGGCACAGCCTGCACACCTGGTACTATATTTAGAAGCTGAAGCAGGGGGATGGCTGCTTCATGAGACTCAGTCTCCGAAAATGGAAAGAAATACTCAGAAGGAGATGCCAGGCCAGCCTGACTTCGCACAGTCTGGGAACCTGGGTCCCTTCACAGTGGGACAGACTGGAGAGGTGCCCAGGCTGGCCTCAGAGTCAGTCCCCTGCCTCCCAGGTGGGGTGCTGGGATTAACAGCTTGCAGCACTATCTTAGGTCCGATAGGACACCCAGAACTAGACAAGAGCTCTCAGGTTAACTAGGCCCAGAGCTAGGCAATGGTTAACTCGGCCCAGAAACAGCAGGGTGTGGAGTGGTCATGAGATGGAATCCCCAGACCTTACAGCGGCTAGAGCAGCCCCTGAAGATCTGCCCTGTGCCCCTCCCAAGGGTTGGTTTCATTTCTCAATCCAAGGCATATTCTGTGCTGAAGTCACCTCCGGGCAGGAAAGGGAAGTTGGGAGCCCAGTGCCCGACAGGGGCTCAGAAGCCTTTCTGCAGGGTTCTGTGTCTCATGGGGCCTCAAGTTCATCCGTGTAAAACTGGTGTGAAAGGGTTGGACACAGTGCTCACAGCACACACAGAGCCCAGCCTACCTCCCAGTGCCCCATCAACCCTGCACTCAGGAGGCTGAGGCAGGAGGATCAGGAGTTCAAGGACAAGCCTGGGCTATGTGGTGCCATCGCCTTCCCCCAGATAGAATGATAATGTCCCCCTTTAGCTGCAGAGAGACTGCTGTTAACCCACCTAGGACTCAGTTTCCCCAGTTCTGGCCTGGTTGCTTAGGATAGAGAAGGAACTCAGTGGTAACCACATCCACCCATGGAGCCTGCGGTCTGGTGGGCAGGTACAGCTCAAAGCAGTCCCCAAGTGTGAGGAGCCCAGGGGCTGCGGATGCGTCAGGCTGAGAGATTGGTGGGATGAGAGGATGCATCTGAGTAGCTGTGCAAAGGCCCTGGGGCAGGACAGAGCCTAGTGTCGGAGGAGGCCCTGTTCCAAGCAGGGGTGGACAGGACGGGTGCTCAGGGCATGATGGGATGCTGGAGGACCTTGCATTGATTATATATATGTTTTCTGAGTTGGTGGCATAGGTTGGGGCACCCAGTGTGTCCTGGATGTTGCAGGATCTTCTCTGTGCCCAGGCACAGGAGCAGCCTTGACTCCGAGCCACCTGGGCTCCAACTCCTCCCCGCCCAGCTGGGGAAGGAGAGCGTAGGACAGGTAGTAGGTGTGATGGGGTGACACCGATCTCAGGGCCATCGAGGGATCCCCGTTCTTGTCCTTTCAGCCTGCCCTAGTTACAGGTCCTTAAGGTCGGGTCAGTTCCCTTTCTCCATCTGAGCCGAGGGTGGAGGCTGGCCCCTGGTCTGTTTGCCTGCCTCGGTTTCCCCTCCCCCCTCCATGCTGCTCCTCTGTCCCCACAGGGACGGTCTGCGTCCTGCTGTCCTTCCCGTTCATCTTCAGCCCGTGTTTGGGCTGCGGGGAGGCCACGCCCGAGTGGGCCGCCCTACTGTACTATGGGCCCTTCATCGTCATCTTCCAGTTTGGCTGGGCTGCCACACAGATTGCCCACCTGAGTCTCATCCCAGAGCTGGTGACCAGTGACCACGAGAAGGTGGAGCTCACGGCCCTCAGGTACATCAGGGCAGGGGACAGTGACCTAGCCAGGTGTCCCTGGAACCTGTGTATCTGTGGTCTACAGCTGTGTAATGAGTGAATGCCGGGTGACCACGGGAACGGGTGCTATCTGGTCTCCGCACTTTTCTTTTTTTCTTTTTTTTTTTTTTTTTTTTGCTGTTAGTTTTTGTTTTTGTTGGTTTTTTTGCAGGGAGGGGATTGTTTTTGTTTCTGAGACAGGGTTTCTCTGTGTAGCTCTGGCTGTCCTGGAACTCACTCTGTAGACCAGGCTGGCCTCGAACTCAGAAATCCACCTGCCCGTGCCTCCCAAGTGCTGGGATTAAAGGCGTGCGCCACCACCACCCGATCAGCTCATTTTCTAAAATATTTTGAATTAGTTTCTTAGTTATTTGCCCAGGCCGGCCCCTAGCCTAAGCCTCCGGAGCGTCTAGGTCAGGAGGTGTACGTCACTGCGCCAGCCTAGGGTGCAGCTGTAGGAGCCGGGGCGTCTCGGCCTTCTCTGAGGATGACAGAGTGGACTGTGCTCTGGGGCGCACCCTAAAGCCAGCTCCCTAAGGTGACCTGATTACGCCGGGCCCTCCAGGGACAGCCTCCCTTCAAAGGGACTCTGGCTGACCAAGTTCTCACATGACCCCTGTGTTCTGTAGTGGATGTGTAGCCTGTCTCTGGCTGGGGGCAGGGTGGGGGGAGGACACTGACAGGGTGGGCTAAGGGCGTGGCTACTGCAGCCACCAGCTTGAAAGTTTAGGTGACGGGGCCCCGGCGGGCTGACAGTATTTATTGAGCACTTACTGTGTGCTGAGGCCCGGCCCTCCCCCATAGGTATGCGTTCACTGTGGTTGCCAACATCACCGTGTACGGCATGGCGTGGCTGCTGCTGCATTTGCAAGGCTCCGCACACGGGAGCCAGGACATCGGTGTGGGTGACCAGCTGGGAGTCCAGGATGTGCCTGTGTTCCGGGTAAGTCTGGCCGCATGCTAGCCCAGAGCCCCCGAGCCTGGGCGAGCCGTTGCTGACCCTTGCTCTCCTCCCTAGACCCTGGCCCTGCTGGTGGTGGCTGTGGGAGCCATCTTCTCTCTGCTCTTCCACTTGGGAACCAAGGAGGGTCGCTGGCCCCAGCACCGGGGGACCGAACCCAATGAGCACAGCCCCCTGGTGGCCCCCGCAGCCCAGCCACTGCTGCTGTGGAAGCACTGGCTCCGCGAGCCGGCCTTCTATCAGGTGGGTGTGGGCTGAGGGGATGGAAGAAACCAGGACAGATGTCACTGACCACTCCCCACTCACCTCCCAGGACAGACATCACTAACTTCCCACCCCCCCACCCCACCACCTAAGGCAGCTGACATCAACAGCCTTCCATTTCCCATGCAGGCATAAATCCTCATCTCCACTTTCCAACTGGGACAGACATTACTAATCAACTTTCCATTCCTCAGCCAGGGCAGACATTACCAATCACAGATCTCCCCCTTCCTGTCCCGGCGCCCTGGCCTACTGGCCAGTCAGACTTAATGAATCAGCACTGTGCAAGCCCTCAGCTTGTTTCTAAAAATCCCCTGACTGGTCGGAGGGAGTGCACTGGGTCTCCCACTGAGCCCTGGTTTGTCCCCCTGTTGATCTGCCCACAGGTAGGCATGCTGTACATGACCACAAGGCTCATTGTGAACCTGTCTCAGACCTACATTGCCATGTACCTGACCTATTCTCTCAGCTTGCCCAAGGTGAGTTGTGGGTGTGTGGCGACAGTGGGAGGTGGAGTCCCTGTTGAGACACCCCTCTTGACTGCCATTGCCTCTTCCTCCACAGAAGTTCATCGCCACCATCCCCCTGGTGATGTACTTGAGTGGCTTCTTCTCCTCCTTCCTCATGAAGCCAGTCAACAGGCGCATAGGGAGGAACGTGAGTGGCAGGTGCTACTGGAGAGGTGGGCAGGGGTGGGGACTCCCCCAGGGCAGACTGCGGCCTAGAGCCCAGAGTCCAGGCTTCTTGGGCCCTCTGGTTGCAGGCAGGGCTCTGGAAACCTCCAGACTCTTCCTTCCAGCTGCCTGGTGGGCTGAAGCCTTTGGACTGCGTACCCCATGCAGAATGGGAAGTAGACTAGTAATGTCTGACTTGGCTGTGGAACACATTAGTAATGTCTGCTCTGGGCAAAGACCAGTAATGCCTGTCTTGGGTGTAGAATAGGACAAGTTTTAATGTGCCTTTTACTGGGCTGAGGACCAGAGAGGGCGAGTGTCCGGTGCAGGGTGCCCAGCAATGTGGGTCTGACCCAGGCCCCGCCTCCTTCCTCCCTAGATGACCTACTTCACGGGGCTGCTGGTGATCCTGGCCTTCGCAGCTTGGGTGGCCCTGGCAGATAATCTGGGTGTGGCTGTGTACGGGGCCGCAATGCTGCTGGGTGCAGGCTGTGCCACCATCCTTGTCACCTCCCTAGCCATGACAGCTGACCTCATTGGCCCACACACGGTAGGGCTGGTGGGAGGAGCCTGGGGGCGTGGTTCGGACGGGGCCTGCGCACTAACCCGTTGTGTGTCGCCCCAGCATAGTGGAGCCTTCGTGTATGGTGCTATGAGCTTTTCGGATAAGGTGGCCAATGGGCTGGCAGTCATGGCTGTGCAGAGCCTGCATCCCTGTCCGTGAGTCCGTGTTCCTCAGCCTCGGAGAGCACACATTCCTTCCTTTGGGCAGTTGTTTATTCAACAAACACTGAGTTTCTTTTGAGCTGGGTGCTGCGGGCTCAGTCTGCAGGGCGCGCAGGGCCACTCAGACCCTCACAGTGTGGGTTCCTGAGCCACCCAGCCACCCCTGCTGGCCGGACAATGGCAGTCGTGTCCGTAACTGCTAATACGGGAGTGGGGTTGACGTAGGGCAGGGGATGGTCTAGGAGTCAGACAGGAAGCCGGGAGGCTCCCTGAGAACCTCTGGACCACTGGAGGGCCCGTGCAGAGACCCTGGGGCAGCTCTGAGGAGTCCGTTCGGGAGCCAAGGGACCAGGGGCAGGGCTGTGGGCTGCAGGAGACTGAGCAAGCACATACATGCGTGCACATATCTGGGGCTGTGTGTCTAGGGTCCCTGGAACTTGAGAAGGGAGCCACAGAGGCTGCTCCAGGGGACACTGCAGCAATTCTCAGGGACCCTTCCCTCCCATGTCCCTCAGAAGCCCTCTGTTCCCTAGCTCTGAGCTGTGCTGCGGGGCCTGCGTAGGCTTCTACCACTGGGTGATGACAGCAGTGACCGGCGGCGTGGGTGTGGCCGCGGCCCTGGCTCTCTGCAGCCTTCTCATCTGGCCCATCCGAATTCGCACCCGTGGGTCTCCATCACTGGGACTTGGGTGGGGGCGGGGTGCGACCTGGGACCCGCCCTTGCCAACACTATCCACTGCTTATTTCAGGGTTCCGCGGAGACCAGCCCTGACTTCTGGCTCCCCAGGGTGGCGTGATGAAGGACCACGCAGACACCCTGACCCCCGATCTCCCAACCTGCTTGGGGTCAGAGGGCACGGCGTGCGGGTGGGGGTGCCGGCCACGCTTGCTGAGCCCTAGGGGCCCGTGGGTGCCCCGTCCCACTGTCGACTCGGATGCACCCGCCCGCGGAGAGGCTGCCGGGGACGCATGCCCGGGCTGCGCGTGGGAGACATTGCCCGGCTCATGGGGACACAGACACGAGGGTCGGAAGCACGGCTTTATCAGAGCGCGGGTGTGAAGGCCGGGGGCGGCTGGCCGGTGGCCGGGCAGGGGCGCTCGAGGCCCCGCTGTCGGAAGTCCTGCGCCGTGAATCGTGGCCGCTGTGGCGGCGACAGGTGCGGCACATAGTCCGACCGCCAGGGCAGCTGTGCCCCGAACTGGTTCCTGGTGGCCACTGCGGACACGACGGACGAGCTCTGCGTGGGGCGTGTGCTGGCCAAGCCCGCTAGGCCACGGCCATCCTGCGCTCCCAGCCCGCACTGCCCACCGCCCACCTATCCTCCTTCCTCGTCTTTTTTTCTTAAGAGTGTCCCTGTTTTGTTTTGACACTAGCTAGCCCAGGCTGGCTCCGGGACTCAGGTTCCCCCTGCCTCTGTCTCCAAGACTGGAACGACCCAATGCAGCACGGCCCCGCCCCGTCCCATCCCCTCCGCTCACCGAACTCCTTGCCGCGGATTTGCCTGTCCCGCCACTGCAGGCACCCCCAGCGCGTTCCCGGGTTGAGGTACTGCGCGGGGATCGCAGGGTCCCAGAAGGCCGTCTCCCGCAGGTGCTGAGTGTAGGCTGCGGGAGGCGCGGAGGGGGCGGTGTCAGCGTGGGACCCGCGGCCGAGCGTGGCCGGGGGCGGGGCACTCACCGGGCGGCAGGCCGCGCTGCCGACTCTGGAAGCAGCCGAGCCAGCGTGAGTGGGCCTCGCGGTACGGACTGTCGAGCGCCCGGGGCATCGTGTACCAGGCGTCGCACGGGTTCGAGTTGGTCAGGCCGGTGTACCACACCTGGCCGGCCGCGTCCCGTCCCATGGGCGTGAACTTCCAGCGCGTGGCTTGCTTGATGGCCGGCGCCCAGCGGGGCCCCTCCAGGGACAGGTAGTCATTGCTGAGAGAGGATGGGGACTGAGCCGGGACGTCCTGCTGGACCAGCCACCGCCCCCTGCCGTCGTCTCCCGGAGTGTCTGACCCGTTTACAAAGGTGCTACGGAGTGCGCCGCCACCCGCCCTGCGGCGTCTCCGCACCTCCCCACCTGGACTCTAGCTCATGTGGCCGAGGATGGCCCTGCTTGTTTGACGCAGTTGTCACTGTTGCCCAGTGTTTACCACAAATCCTGCCTCAGCCTTGCGCCACTGACGGCTGCTGGGGGACGGAGGGAGGGGGAGGGAGGGCCCAAGCCTGTAGCTCCCCACAGACGATGCTCCTGATTGGAGGGCGCATGGAAGGCCATGCAGGCTGCAGTGCTGGTGCTTGCAGGGAAAGGCCCCGCGGCCGAGGCGGCCTGTCACCAACACCACAGACGACCCAAGTCTGAGCCAGCCTGTGAGATGGGCCTTTTCTGCTGGGTGTGCTGGCAACACTTAGCACGCGCTAGTTAGGAGGGTCTCTGCGGGCTTATGAATAGCTGGGGATACACAGGAATCTAAAAAGGAAGGGCATTCTGGCACATGGCCGCCACTGAAGCCCTGTGGGCCGGAGAACCAGCTTCCTCAGCTACCGACACCTCATCACACCCAGGAGGAGGGCTGGGCACACTGCTGCCACCACCTCTCCCACATGCCATGGTTAGACTTGTCTAGGATATGTGGGAGGGGCAGAATTCCATTGTTGAGCCTGGCTGTTTCCAAACCCGAGTTTAGAGTTCGAGACTCCTCTACTTGGAGTGGGGTGTGCACAACCCTTTGCTGGGCTACAGGTTACGGGCGGGGGATCTGATGTCTGGGTGAAGAGGCACCAAATGCAGGGACCCACCGGTATAGATGGTCTGGGAAGTAGAGTTCAAGGGTGCCCGAGGGAACGGAGGGCCGAGAAGCCTCCCGCCTCACGTTCTCCATGTCTGGCCCTGCCTTCCCAGAGGCTCTAGTCACCAAGGCCCTGGGGCCATTGTTGACAGGGACAAAGGTATCCCAGCAACAGGGAAGCAGGCAGCCACAGTCCATGATCTCAGCTTACTTCCTGCTGTGTGGCCAGGACCCTGAGTGTCCCACGGCAGGAGGTCACGCCCTCCTTGAGCTTGGGTCCCCATCCACAGCAGCCACTCACCCCACCTCCATCTGTGTCCTCAAGACACATTGAAGGAAGGGCACATGAGTGACGATGGTGCTCAGCAAAGGGACCCAGAGACAAGGGCCACAAAGTATGGGTTCCATGACAGGGTCCATGATAGAGACGTCCACAGAAGGAAGTGGATACCTGGAGTCTTCAGTTGGTCATAGAATGTGCTGGAATCTTTGGTGGCGTCGGAAGCCCAGGGTCTGCTCATTCTGTTAGTGCATCGTGTGTCCTGTGTGTCTTATGTCAATAAATGTCACCACAGCCAATCTCAAAGCTTAGCCAGCCCTTTACAGCCTGTACATGTGGTGCTCCACTTGGGTTCCTGTTTCTTCAGCAAACACCACCTCCCACTCTGGTCACCAACATGCTAAGCTTGCTCTGCTCCAGGCAGGCCTCTGGGGTCCCCCAGCCAGTCAGGGTCCTGGCAAGCTCAGGGTCCAGGTCTGTGAGGTGTACATGAGGGGTGTTTTTTTTTCCTGTAGGCTTTGGTTCCTGACCCCCTCTCAAACCCGACTCACCTGAGCACAGCTCTGCACAAGATCAGGCCTTACTCTTGCTGTGTCCAGCCCATCCCTGACCTGCACACCCTTCATGGCCCTGCAGGTCAGTCACAGCTGGCTGCTCGGTCCAGGGCAGGTGCTTTCTGACCCACACACCAGGAATGTCAGGAATCAGAAGGCAGGCTGCACTCTCCCCTGCATGTGGAGTGTGTGTGTCCAGCAGGATTCCCTCTAGCCAGAGGTCACAAAGGCCTGTGGACATCTTTTCTTTTTCTTTTTTTGGTTTTTCGAGACAGGGTTTCTCTGTGTATCTCTGTCCTAGAACTCACTGTGTAGACCAGGCTGGCCTTGAACTCAGAAATCCACCTGCCTCTGCCTCCCAAGCACTGGGATTAAAGGCATGTGCCACACTACCAACCTGTGGACATCTTAAGATCCCCATTTGGGCATTTTGGTTTTGGGGACTGGTTGTGACCCCTGGTGAGTGCAGAACTCACTAGCTTGGGCTTCAAGTAAGAATCCAACAAGAGGCTGGGACTCCCCCCAGGCCTGCAGTCAGCCAGCCTGTGTCCTGGTGGCTTCTCCGGCCATCAGCATTTTTGGGGACAAGGCATCAAAACACAGGAGACAGACCCCAAGGTGTCACAAATACATATATACACACATGCACACACCATAGGCCACTGCCACCACACTGGGGCTCCCCAGGGAGGAGGGGCAGTAGAAATGGGGTCTGAAGACAGGAAGGCCTGGGAAGCTCAAAGGCGGCCAAGAGGAGGCGGACAAGGCAGAGGAAGCAGCTGGCTGGAGACAGGGCTGACACCCATAGGAAGGGTTACAGGAGGCGCACACACAGACACAGGGTGGCAATGCAGTTGGAGTCAATGCAACTAGAAAGTCACAGGTCCCTGCCAGCGCCTCCCAGGATGTTCTGGCTTGGGTGAAGCTGGGGTGGCTGTTGGGAGGGACACGATGGCTCTGGTCCCCAGGTCCCACTGGGTTTGGGGGTTTGATGGGCCCTCAGCCTCCTGCTCAGCGGTGTCCAACATGGCTTGGGCAGAGGTAACAGGTCGCAAGTGTCCGTCTGGCTGAGGGTCCCCGTGTTCCCGTCCCAGACACTGGTTCCACAGCTCACAAGGAGGCATTTAATGAGACTCTGGGGTCTCTGGCCCGGTTCCCGCCCGCCAGATGGCTCTGGGGACGGCAGGTACAGCAGGGCCCACGCGTGCTGGCTACTCCATCTCTGCCCGTGGGGCTGCACATCCCGCCTGCGGGTCTATCGGATCCGGGTGAAGAGGTTGAGCACAGACACAGATTCCTGGGAACGGGATGGAAGTGACTGGCTGTGTGCCAGGGCACTGTGCGAGCCCAGGGTGCAACAGCAGGTGGACAAGCATGGACACACCACCCAGCCCTGTTACCTTTGTAGAGCGGGTTTTGCTGAAAACATTCCAGAACCGCAGGGTCTCATCTCCAGCTCCAGTGACGATGGCCTCCCCATCAGGGGACATGGCCTACAGAAGGGACAGAAGGGCACTGGCTATTTTTCAGCTCCAACAGGCAGCTTCTGGGATACAGGCAGAAGGCAGGCAGGTGCCAGGGGACATGGACCCTGGGCTAGGGCACAGGACACACAAGGCTCCTGTGGTGCTTGCCCTGATCCCTGGGTTCCCACACCTGGCAGGACAGAGCCAAGCCCACCAGCAGCCAGGGGACACTGAAACTTGTGTGCCCTGTGGAGTGAGCTCTGGCGGACAGGCCTCCCTTACTTCCCAAATCCTGGGTTAGTGACACACTGGTTTGTTAGTGGTGGCTTTGCTACTAAGACTAGAAGCAGACAGCAGGAAGGCTGGCATTCTTTGACCTTCCTAGCACACCACAGGGAAGCCTGTCAGAGGGGGGCCCAGGACGCTGGCAGCAGCAATGGCTGACACTCACCAGGTAGAGGACACGGTACGAGTGGCCAGTGAGCTTGGCCACCTGTGTAAGGGACGGGTACTTCCACACGAGGATCTGGTTCTGTGAGTAGCCGTGTGTGCTCACCTAGTGGAAGGGTTAGGCATTGGGGCTGCAGAGGGCCTGGGGTTCCCTGTGGGCTTCCCTCAGTGGCATCCTGGTGCCTCACAGACGGGACTGACCAGGACACACTGCCTATTCCTGCAGCCCAAGCTGGCATCACACAGTCCCCCAGCTATCAGGCTCCCCCAGGCCCCCGGGGCCTCACTGCTCTCTGGGCTGGGCTGTTTCTTCATCCTCCCCATACCCACTGTGCACTTACCAGCTCGTTGGCGTGCTTGGACCAGGCTAGGTTGCACACTTGTGAGCCTGTGTCAATGCACTGCAGTGGCTGGCCTGTCAGAGTGTTCCAGAACCGGATGCAGCGGTCGGCCGTGCCACCCCCGGATGCCAGCAGTCCATGCTGGTGTGGGGACCAGGCGATGGCCTTCACGGCTGCCAGGTGCTCCGTGTACTGCTGCACAGGGCTGAGGCTGGAGTGGTTCCACACGAGCAGCTGCAGGCAGGCCAGGGCTGTGACACAGGCCCACTCAGGGACCAGGGACATGTGCACACCTCTAGGACAGCTTTAGGGACAGGGTCCTCAAGATGACCCCAGAGATATGAGTTTCCAATACCTGGGCCATGACCTGTGTGCACTCTCTAAAACCACCCCTTCCCTTGGGGGCATCAGGTCATGCATCCTTGTCCCAGGTTCTATGGGTCACCCAGCTGAGATGACCCACAGGGACAGGCAGCTGGCCTCCTGGGGCAGCATGGGGTGATGCGACCATACCTTGTTGTCATTGCCCCCCGAGGCAAGCAGTTGGTGGTCTGTGGACCACTTTAGGCCACACACTTCCTGCCGGTGGCCCTGCAGCCGCCGCTCTGACTGCAGGGGTGGTGTGCGGATGTCCCGCTGTAGGATCATGCGGTCACGGCTACCGGATGACAACTGGTCAGCATTCCAGGCCAGCGCCCCTACAGGGTGGCACCAGGTTAGCCCTGGCCTGGTCAGAGGCTGTGTCCCAAGGCCCAGCCGGGCAGGGGTCCTCACCCACTCGCGCTGTGTGCCCCTCCAGGGTGGACAGTTTCTTCCCAGCACCGGCATCCCAGATCTGCACAAAGCCCTTGTGTGTGCCCACGGCGACCAGGTTCCCCTAGGTGACAGTGTGGCCAAGTAGCCCCGTGAGACGCTCACCCACTGCATCCTCCACAGAGACTCACGGCTATCTCTGTAAGCTCATTTTGTTGTTTTTCTTTTTATAACAAGGGCTTACTCTGTATTCCAGGCTAGCCACACACTCAAATATAGTCCAGGCTGACCTCAAACTAAGGGTAATCCTCCAGCATCAGCCTCTGGCTGCTTCTACAAAGTGCTTTGCTTAAGCCCTCCCCAGTGTTTTCCAGCAGTGGAGTCCCCTGGGCCACAAAAGTGACAGTATGTCACCACTTGGCCACCACCACTCTAGCTGGGGCACACTTCCATCCCAGCACCCAAGCCGCAGAGGAACAGCAGTCCCCAAAGGAAGGCTGAGGCACAACAGTGTGCACCTGGGCAGCACTGGGGAAGCAAGCAGCCAGACTTAGTCATCTGAGCTCTGCCTTCCTCCATCTGTGGGGAACACAGGTGGCCCCTGGGCTGAGTCCTCTGCACTCACCCGCTCAGACCAGCCCACGGAAGTCACTGAGTCCCCTTCTACAGAGAGGTCACACAGCCGGGTCACCTGTTGGCAGGAGGTTAGAGTCAGGGGCAGATGTACCCCTCCCTTCTGGGTATGCCCGACAGCCTCGGTCCCATGCTGCACCGGCGCCCACCTGGCTGGTGCACGCGCTCCACAGGTACACGCAGGTGCCCAGCCCCACGCTCAGCACGTTGAGTGAGGACCAGTCCACCAGGTTGAGGTAGAAGTCGTCCTGCAGCTCCGGCGCGTCCAGCACCTTGAAGGGAATCTTGGAGATCTTGCGCGTGGGCTTCCGTGGTGAACGCAGCAGCTTCTGACTGTGGTGACAGCAGGCTGCTGCTTGCCGCTGCCCTAGACCCCGGTGTCCCCACCACCAGTCTCAGGGCACCTGGAAACCCAGCCCTGGCTCACCTTTTGTTGCTGACAGGGGACAAGGAGTACGGGGACACATCACTGCCATCATCTGGACTCGAGCGCTTGCTGCTGAGGGAGTACTGGGGGCAGGACACGGGGCTGAGTGGCTTCTGTGCTCATGACTCGGGGAGCCATGAGCACCCCAAAGCTGACACATACACGGTAGAAGCCGCAGAAGGGATAGAACAGGTCCCACAGTGCTGCAGCCTCGCAGGCCACTGGGTGCCACTCGGCTCACCGTAAAGAGACCCTTGTGCTCTGGTGTGGACGGCTGCAGCCTCCGGTCCTCCGTCTGTGGGTCCTGCACCTTCTCGATGCCAGCACCCAGCAACTCATTCTTCAGCAGTGCGGAGTAAGCCAGGCCGTCTGCAAGGGTGGGGTGCGAGGGTTTGGGGGGGTGCCTCAGGTGGGTGAGACCTGCAGAGGCAGGGCATGGGGGAGGCCAGACTAGCTGCCAGGGTGTGTGGTGAAGGGTGGAGCCGACCCCTCACCTTTGCCGTTGTCGGAGGTGGCGTCCTTGGCTTTGCGGTTCTGGCTGGGGGACTTCTCATTTTCCTGTGGGAGAGGAGCGGGTGAGAGGGCACCACAGCGTGAGGCTGTGCTCTCCTAGGGTGGCAGGCCCTGCCTGGGACTCACGTTGATCCTGTGGAAGTTGACACTCCAGTTAGCCCCGGCCCGC